TATAGGATATTATCTTTGGTATATCAATTCAACATCGTCAAATGCACGAATTTCCTTATACTGACAGATGTGAAATTATTCGCTGACTGTATTGGTTTATTAGGAAAGGATTCTGTCACATAACCGAAACGTCAAATGAAAGTGATATGAATGAAAGCAGTTAGAACTCCTGGGACAACAGAAGCAATAAAAAAGCATTTCCCGTGTTGCGTCTGCTTCAATACATACCAGTCTTAGACGTGAAAGAAACATTCGCCTATTAAGCGAAAGGCCATCAGTGTCAGCTAAACAAACGCTCTTATCAGATGCTTATCAGCTAAGGTACGGAGTGAAAGGGGCGATGTGAGGCTTACTGGGGATGATCTCGGGATGTACTTGATATGTTGCAACCCAATCTTGCCTTGCTGCGTAGACCGTAACTGTTCTCAACCTAAACAACGGTAACTGGAAATATAGCACCGGTAATATTAAAAACATGTAGACAAGACAGACAAACACAATATACATCAAATCCTTACGCTATGCAACGAAGTCACAACAGCACGACAGGTCTTGCCAGCACAGCAGGAAGACAAGCTGCTTAGCGCTGTACCAACCAGTTCCATACAATACGCACAAAACATTTAAATGCGTTTCGGAGTCCATTAAACCCACGTGATTTCAGAATTTGGGCAACTACCACAACTCGGCTCGGCTGGTGGTCGTTGGTGCTTGGGAAGCCCTCTGTCATTTCTGGCGACGGTGTTTCATGGCGTCGCTCACCGGAGTCGTCTGGCAGCCTGCAAGAAAAGCAGGGCAACGTTACCCAGGCTGCAGTGGCTGTATGGCCTGATTGGTGGGAAGGCGGGATAGTAGAGAGGCAACCGTGGCTGTAGGGGGCGCGTGGAGAGGTGAGCGGCAGTTAATGGATATACAAATGTCTTCTTCGCTCCCTCTCGCTTCCTAAGCATCAAATTTTCCCATTTCCCCTCCCCCCTTGGTAGTGAGGACTGAAAGTAGTGGCGACCAAACTCGCCCCCACCACTCAGTCCCCCTAAGTCGCACACCCCTCCCCCCTGGTACTGAAGACTGAGGGCAGTGGGCGAATAAATTTACCCCCGCCACTCAGTCCCCCTAAGCCGCACACTTCCTTCCCCCCTCCCTTCCCCGCTGGCAGTGAGAATTAAGGGCAGTGGGCGAACAACTCGCCCCCCGCCACTTACTCCAAGTGGACCGGAGAGACTGAGTTTTGTGTCCAAAAACTGGGCTTATATACGGGAAAGATGTGGGCGTAGCCAAGGTAGAAGGTGTATAGATGACCTCAAGGGGCTGTAAAACGCGCCTATTCTGATGCCTTACACATTACTTATGCGTGATCTGAAAAGCCATAAAAATCCTTTCCCTCTACTTTTTTTAACTTACTCTGCCATCACATTCTAACTACCGCCATCCGCCGTGGGGCAACCTTACCCGCCTTCCAGAAAGAAAATTTTTCGCTGCTCGTGTGTGAGACGGGCCGAGCCGAGCCGAGCCGTATTTTAGTAGCTCTTCAGAATCTGGACTCAGAATGCATCACTTATTAACCATTATACTGACAGAAGTTTTGACAAGAACTTCACTTCCTCAGGCTTTCTTTTCAATTAACTGAACAAATTTAGCAAATTATTGGTGTGTTTGGATTAAGACGATCCTCTTCAGTTCTCCTTCCATCACAGGCCTGCTTAGAATTCGCAAAAACGAACAAAATTGCTGAAACTAAAATTAATCTTAACATAAAATACCAAAAATACAAAGGAGATTGACTCAACACACATAAAGAACGGAAAAAAAAGCAGTCTGCAGAATCTTCGAAAAAACATGAGATGATATATTAAGAGAAAACATTAGGATTCGTTCCCAAAATTGAACGATCCTACTGAACATTGATTCAAAGCTCTTGCCATCATAGATCGTCCACAATTACTGGCATTTGAACACCTGAAAGAAAAAATGGTCAAACAGACGCTAAGCTGTGGCAAAATAACACTTGAATCCGGAAGTAATCATCTAAAAAACCTAAAGTTTTAAAGAAAAAGGAATGGCCGTGGCTTCTGCGCAAGAATTTCATGCTTACTTGTTCTCGAAAAAGATTTTATGAAGAATTTTTTTTTTTTGAATGAGTTTCAGAAACTGCCTTTTTTTTTTTAGTAAATCTGGATATATTTAAAAACCGTAACAATCATAATTAACGTCACACAGACCAACCCTGTACATATGGCGCATTGGTCTGCACTCGTCCAGTGCTATTTAATGCCTTTTTCGGCAAATCTGCACCTCCACTTCGGGATGAAAACATTGTAATCAAATTCTCTCTCACAAATCTCGCCGGCATTACCAAATCATTGTATGATTCTGTATAAAGTTGTTTTAGCTCGAACAATCCTTTTGATGGCTAAAAACATTCGTTTGAAAGCGAAATCACTATCTATTTTGCTATGCTTTACCTTCCCTATACAATGAAATGGCCAATGAAAAGGAACGATAAAATGGAGCAGTTAGACGAATTAACTTAGTTGAAGGACGGAAATATCGATGGCAAGAAAAGCCACAACCATGATCTGTTGCTCATAAATGTCATTTCTTTTCCACTCACTGGAAAAGTCCAAAGAGGCTAGTTCGTCAGAAAGACATCTCATTCCGATGCATACGCTTTTATCGCGAATGTCGTTGTTTTTTCACCCTATACCGGACGTTATATAAGCTGTTGCGTCTAAACTTCCAATATGTTCTGCCTAGCCAGGCATGGAATAGAAAAATAATGGGGAGCAATTACAAACAAGAAAATTAGCTGAAATGTTGATACGGCCAGTGAATCAAAGCAGTATTCGAAAACCACCTCAACCATTCCCCACAATACCAGCGCTGGGACACAAACTTCAGGTGAGGTAAAACGACCGTGATATCAACAACCACTGCATAAAACTTACCACTGAATCCACGTCGATCAGAATATTATCGGTTCTTGGATTTTTCAGGAGCAATAATCGAACATGAGAAAAACATTCATGGAACTCGTCCTAAAAAGATCAGATTTTTCGCTACTTTTTTATCAAGAGCGGCGCTAAAATCTTGACAACACTTCCTCGAAAAGTAAAACACCGCGCACAAATTACAAAATTCTTGAAAATGCGGGCAGAAAAACTGTGAAACTTATCTCTCTTCCAGGCACAATTGCGAAAGGTGCTGTCTGTACCACTACGCCGTATGCTGGCCTTGCAAATTCGCTTTTTAACTGAAAAACTTTGAACTAATCCAATGAAAATGACTGCCTGTGAGGGCCGAAACTAGAAATAATCATGCTAATGAAAGTAATCATGAGAAGAGGAAGAGAGTACTCGTACGGCTCTTAGACAAGCGATGAAAGCACAAACCTTCCTCAGGCAGCTGACTGGTGCTTCCTTATGACAAAGCTGATCAATCAAGTACAAAGGGGCAAGCGCTGAGTTATCATCTTCGCCCAGGTATTGAACTCTGTACACCCTTCGCTTCTCGGCATCGTACAGGATGTAATCATCACCTTCGACAGGTCTATCAACAAATAAGCGTTCATCCTGTTTGAAGTCTGTATAAAAGTGGCTGAAAACAAACAGTAGTTATTGCAGTCGTCATAATGGACGCCAGTGAACAGTTGTTCGCTGAATTTACTTATTCCCTCGCTGAGCTAATCTTTAACGGAGTATGAACAATACTCAGGCAACGAAAATAGATGGGAAAAGGTGCTGGACCTGATCCTGTATCAAGAAAGGCGAAAAGCAAAATAGTTAAAAAGGAGTGTAAAACTTTGCTAAGCTCATGAAATATGCTAGAAATGAGCAAAATTCTAATCTGTAATGAAAGAGAAATCAATGAAATAGGAAGGCGCGCTTGAAAGTAAATAAACTAATGCGGAAGAGCTGAGAAACTTGGAAAAATTGTGAAACCAAGGATGACACTTCATGCTGAGGCATTAAGACTGAAATACATCTTAGACAGAGAAGCGCCAAAAACTGAAATGATTTCCCCGTCCTCCCTTTCCCTCATCTCAGAATATCGAAAGCTGGCTGTGTTGCAGTACTTGATGGGAACTTCCATTTTCATGATCTTGCCAAACCCTTTACTCCAGTTCTGGATAATCCAAATAAATAAGCATTTTATGTGGATTCTGTAAGAATCCAGTGCAAGTGTAGATGTTTAAAGTAGAGGCAGATCGCCCTTTGTTACACCACTTTCCCTATAATTCTTTTTTAGTTACATGAAACTTACA